CCACCCACCCACCTCTTTAAAAAAAGGTTTCAGTTCGATCTCTCTTGCGAAATTAAAGGGTTTTTTTTTTTCTTTTCAGTTTCTTCTGATCGTCTCTTGAGCTCCCGTGCTTGAAGCTTCTGGGTATGTTCGACTTCTGGGTTTTCTTTTTCCGTCGTCTAGGGTTTTACTTTCTCCTTTGTACGACTCATGATCATAACCTGCATTTACATTTGGAGATTTTCTCGTTTTACTCTTCTTGTTATGCTATCACCTTCCTACTTATTTCGCTCATTGAAATTCAATTTGCCATCCGCGAATGCTTTCGATCTGCTAGGATGTTTGTGGTGATTACTCAGTTTAATTTTCTTGTCTTTCGAGATTAGTAGTCGACTAGCCTGTGCAATTTCTTGTCTCTTTTGTCCTCAGTTATTCTTATTAGTGGTTCTGCTTCAAAAGTTGAAACTTGATTTTATGATCTCAGCATTGCAATTATACCACTTCGATATGACTTGTCATATGAATTTGTTTTGTTTTGCAGGTCTCTACTATTCAACTTTCAGTCTGATTTAGCCTCCTGGAACGTTTATGTGATGAAAGATGAATTACATTGTTTAAAGACCTCACAGTTCTTGTCTCTTACATGGTAAGCTGAGGTCTGTTCACAGTCACTATTGTGAATTGATAGCTTAATATTGGATCTGCAACTGTCTTTCTGTTTCCAGGACTGAGTGATTGATTCTCCTTGTCCTCTTTGTTGTTGTGTTCTCTGAAATTTAGCTGTTCAAGAGGTTTGATTAAAGAGGTTACTTGGCTGAAAATATGGACTGCGACAAGGAAGAGGCTATTAGGCTGAAAACATTAGCAGAGGATATGATGCGGAATGGTGATTTTATTGAGGCTCAGAAGCTTGTAGTGAAGGCTCAGAGTCTCTTCTCAGATCTTGAGAGCTTACCGCAAATGATAGCCGTATGTGATGTACATTCTTCTGCCGAGAAGAAAATCAACGGTCTTGATAACTGGTACGGTATTCTTCAAGCTATGCATTTTTCTGACGATGCTACAATCAAAAAGCAGTACAGGAAGCTCGCGTTGCTTCTCCATCCTGACAAAAACCAGTTTCCCGGTGCTGAGGCTGCTTTTAAGTTGATTGTGCAAGCAAGTAAATTGCTCGCTGACAAGGAAAAACGGTTGCAGTATGATAGCAAGCACAGACGCTATTCACGGTTTAATGGGAAACAGTTGAATGCAAACTCGGTTCTACAAGGTGCAGCTGTGAACAATGCCAGTAACACTGTCATTAACAATGGTACATTTTGGACATGTTGTGAGCATTGTGGCTGGATGTACAAATATTTGGCAGAATATGTGAACACCCTTTTGTACTGTTCCCGTTGTGGAAATTCCTACACGGCCTACAACAATGGATTTAATGCAGTGCCTCCTGAATCAAGGACTGATCAAAAAGAAGTTCAAAATCAAGGGCTGTGTAACACATCTTCGCGTAAAAATGTGGAGTCTACTGGTGCTCAATCAGGAAATGCAGCAGCTGGGGTGTATAAGAAAAGAACTGTCAAAGAGAAATTCAGCAAGAAGAATGGAGTATCTGAGAACAAAAAGGCTGAAGTAAGAAAAACTAAAATAGACGATGGAACTGTGAAGAATTATGCTGATGTTTTGAACCCACGATCCAAGGTTACAAAACCAGAGATGGATGCATCAAATTCTGTAGCGGGTGAATCAGTTTTAACAAGCGATCAAGCACCCTCTATGAGGAAGGACAAAACCAAGGGTAGAAAATTTGTTGAGGAGCCCATTGAGAGTGTTACTGTTGATGTTTCTGATACGGTTGAGCATAAAGTGGATTCAAAAGATAATAATAGGGGGAAAAGTCAGCGGATTTCTTATGCAGAGAAGGGAAGCAGCAATGATTTTGTAAGACCTCCAACAAAAAAGTCAAAATCAAGTGTTGGATCATCCAAACAGCCTGATTCTGGTGGTTCTTCTGCCCCTTCATTTGTGTATAAAGGAAAAGCTACGGAAAATGTGGATTCTGGATATCAAGAAATCTCATCAACCAAAGACAAAGAGAGTAAAGGATGTGAAGAAAGTGGAGAAGCGGTGGTTATGGCGGCAAAGATTGGCAATAACCACCAAGCTAATGATGATCCCATTACGCAGGATTCACCTGATCCAGACTTCAATAATTTTGAACCGACAACAAGCTGTTTTTCTGTCAATCAGGTGTGGTCTCTGTATGATCCGACTGATGGGATGCCTCGCTTCTATGCTCGGATCGATAAAGTGGTTCACTCTTCGTTCAAATTGTGGATTACGTGGATTGACCCTCTGCATAATTCTATTCCCATTGCTTGTGGAATCTTCCAAGATGGGGATTCAGAGGAAGTAGACGACCATTTGATGTTTTCTTCTCAGATGCTTCACTTACCTCGTGATAACAAGATCATCATATATCCAAGAAAAGGAGAGATTTGGGCACTTTTCAGAGGCTGGAATATCAGTTGGAGTTCTAGCTCAGAAAATCATAAACGGCCTTATGAATATGACTATGTTGAAGTTCTTTCTGATTTTAAAGATAAGGATGGCGTTGGAGTGGCCTATCTTGGAAAAGTGGAAGGGTTTGTTTCCCTATTTCACCAAGATGCACAGCATGAAGTTCTTCAATGTCAAATTCCACCAAACGAGATGTTTAGATTTTCTCATAAAGCTCCGTCATTCACAATGACTGGAAAGGAGAGAGAAGATGTTCCTCCTGGGTGCTTTGAATTAGACACTGCTGCTTTACCAAAAGAAATGTTTGAGGTTGATAATTCGAAAGTTGATGTCGAGTTAGATAGAAAAAAGCTGAATGCTAAAACTGTTGGTCCTTTCCCTGAAGCTTCTGAGGTTGAATTGGAGGTAAAGACTACTCCAAAAAAACGTCAAAGCGTCCATGACAATCACGGTTCATCCTCCAAAGCATCTGGTGGTAAATGTACTAATCGTGAGATGAACTCACGGAAGAAATCCAGAAAGAGTGTCAGAGCAGTGGATGACTTGAAACTGCGAAAATCTCCTCGTCTTTTGAGTGAAACAAAGAAGCAAGCAACTTCAACGCCAAGCCCAAAAACAGCTGAGAAGAAGAGGGCTAATAGTGGTGAATCCTGTGGACAGCCAGATGAGTTTTGTGTATCTGGTGAAAAGATGACTATTCCAAAGGAACCAGAGGAAATTATCACAACGGATTCCGCAATAATCAGAAAAACACCTCAGGATGTATTCAAATTGACAGGGAACTCAAAGAAACGTGGCAGAAATGATGAGTTATTGTCTCAGTCCAGGAATAATGGTTTGCTAACTCGGTTGAATGATGCTACAGAATGCTCAGTACCAGAGACTCATGTCCCATCCAGTTGCACAAGAGGGCATGAGAATACGTTTAACTTTGAGAAGCAGAGATCTTGGGACAAATTCCAGGTTGATCAAATATGGGCTACATATAGCAATGGCTCAGGGATGCCCAGAAACTATGCGCAGATCAAGAAAATCGACACAAGTCCTGAATTCAAGCTACATGTAGCACCTCTAGAGCTGTATCGCCTTCCAAAAATCATGACACACCCCACGTGTTGTGGCTGCTTCAAGTTGAAGACCGGTAAAGCAGACGTCCTTGTACCTAGCAGCTTCTCACATGAGGTTAGGGCCGTGAAGACTAACGTAAACAGATTCGAAGTATACCCAGGGAAGGATGAGATCTGGGCTCTGTACAGGAACTGGAATTTCACAGATGGTGCTGAGACTGAAGAACTTGAGATTGTAGAAATAGTGGAAACCGAGGAGCAGAGCATACAAGCGGTGCCTTTGACTGCTAAATGGTTTAACAAGCCTCTCTACAGAAGGAGTGAAGAGTCAAAGAGGGACATTGCAAAGACGGAAATGAGTAGATTCTCGCATCAGATACCTGCTTTCAGACACGAGAGAAGAGCGACTCGGTTTGGAGATGGGGAATGCTGGGAGCTTGACCTTAAAGCAGTTCCGGTTCTGTAACTCAAAGAACCCCTAAGAAGGCTCTTTCTTTTGTTAATCACACAAATCTGTCTACTTGCGACATAACTTGTGGAATGCAGACGCTAAGTTAGGTTTTAGGAAGATCAAACTATGCCAAAGCAACAATATCACTACGTTTTTTGGCTGTTGCCTTTTGCTATTATATCTGTTTATGAACAAGAAACTGAAATCAAGAGGAAAATGAGGATCAAATCGAGTAAATGACCAAGAAAAGTTCTCTGATACTTGGACTAAACATGAACCGTAAATAAAGCTAAAATTATGGTTGGAGACAAACCCAAATCACAGTGAACCGAATTAAACCGGAGATAATCCAAAGGTCTAAATTCGAAGTCTCTCTCTCTAGGATCAGTCTCCACAGTTGTAGTAGTAGATTCGGCGAGATTGG